TGAATGGCATATCACTCGTTTTTGTGGATATTGATGGATACATTCCTCGAACAAGGTAATAGCCTGACATTGTTCCTATAACTTTAATCTGTTTTAATTTTAATATTTGCATTTTGTTTTTATTCATTTGTCGTAGCATTCAACAGAATCATTGTTTTCGCCGTGAAGTGTAATGAGACAGACAACATACACTAGGGTGTGTGTGCGAATTATGATTCACATTCACATTAGCGAATTATGATTCACTATAAAATGTCTAGATATTACAGTTCTGTTATAAATTCACTATAAGTATAAGCAGATCGTCTGCTTTTTATTTATTTTCAAAATGCATACAAATATGATAATAAACTAATTAGGATTATAAGACCAAATATAAAGACGCACATTGACTAGTATCTACATACTGGTGAGTGGACATTAACCATGTGAATGTAGCAAGAAATTTATCACGCAGTATTGTGACTTCGACCCCCCACCTCGCTTCCGTAGAATAAATCGTTATGTTATAAGTTGTGTCATGCAAAATCCTTTTGGTTATGATTCCAATACATATTTAACTACGAGTAGAAAGTAGTTTTGATTTTCTAACTTGATGAAAACAAACCATAATCTCATTAATTCTAACAGACTTTAGCCCGTCACTTTACGATTTTCAAAAAATGGCGGCGCCCTGTCGCGAACATCCGCCAGTCTGAGGATAAATGCTATTTAGGTTTGTTTTCACCGAGTTACAAAATCAAAACTACTTTCTACTGGTCGTAAAATATGTATTTGATTGATGGCCAATAGGATTTTGCATGACATAGCTTATAACATAACAATTTCTCTCGTGGCAGCGAGGTGGGTGTCAATATAATACTACTTACAATATTATTGTTACTTCGACCACAACCTCGCTTCCGAGGAAGAAATCGTTATGTTACAAGTTGTGTCATGGAAAATCTTTATGGTCATCAATCATATACATATTTTACTACAACTAGTAAGTAGTTTTGATTCTTTAACTTCCGTGAAGCGATCTGAACACAAGTAAGATATCGTTTCAGGCTTCCACAACGCTCGCTTCGCACTCACAAACATAACCCATTTAGCACGAACTGCGGGGTCCTGTGGAAATCTGTGCATGGTGACACCATCGCCCGACCCCTAGGAGCAATTGACGACAAAGCAACGATTCGGCATGTCGTCGTTGATGTCGAGAAATCATCAAAATGATGAGCGTGCTACACACTTTCTATACAACTAACTGAAAATCGTTCCTCATATGACGTCACTGCAGTGCTCTGGCGACAGAGTTACGTAACCTGTCTGTGGTTTCGTTGGCGGGCGAGAGTGAAGCAGGCGACTTTTTGGCAACTTTTAATCGCTCGGTATTAATTAACCACACGTTTTTTAAGAATGAATTTGGTGTTCCGCATAAGTCTAACCACAAATCTTTCATATGTAATAGTTAAAAGAGTACAGAAAAACAAAGTTTATTTGTTCTTTAAAGAATCTCGGTCAAGCATGATTTTTCCATCACAAGGGATAAATATGCCAGTGTCAAAACAATCAAGGATCTTTTTTCAATATAAATTATCATTTAATAATTATGTTTTGTAAAGAAATAGAGTTATTAGATTCATTTTGAACAATATGTTTTGTAAATAGATAAATATTGCTTTATCATAAATGATAGAATACATTAGCAACTGCCATTATTAGTGGCTGTAACCTCAAAGGGGGTTGAAGTACTGTAAAATAGTGTCCAGCTGAGAGGATACATAAGGCCCAAAAACATTCAGTAAATTTACACTTGCCAAATTTTTAATACGTAGCATCTTTTAAATTTTAAATTATGGCTACATCTGACTACAATCGAAAACGGCTGAAGGGTACGAAATACGGCGGAATAATAAATACTAAAAACATTAACGATTCCAATAGGTCTCCTGCCTTGTGGCAAGGAGCCCTAATTACAAAATCGTTATTTTTTAGTTTTTCGGGGTTTTGACCCCGGAACTTGATAGTAAGTCAAAAATGCTTTCTAATGGTAAAGATCACCAAGGTCACGGGGTCAAGGTCATTTGACCGGTCCGTCACAAGAAAAGACACTTTTTTTGGCGAGCTAAGTCTCCGTTGTTATTACCTCCAGGGTGCAAGAAGTTAGTGTTTCTGCTTTGCCCAGACCCGAAGTATCATATGCGCTGGTCAGATTTGGTGACAAATATGTCCGCCGTCTGTCTGTCCGCCAAACTGCGATCTATCCATTGTCTCCGGAAGTATGAAAAGTACAGAGTTGATATTTTGCACACCGTATCCCCTTGACTGTGTCTACTGTTGCTGTAAAAATCAAGTCTTTTAATTTTCAACTTTTGTTGCTATGGCAACCTGAAAAATGAAAAACTTCAATCCAAGATGGCGGCCAAACAGCTAGAGATATCGGGTTTGGACCCACCCAAAAATGATCGGCATCTCATGACTAAGCCACATGCCAAATATGAAAGTGATTGCGTTAATAGTAGTGGAGATATATGCTGTTTTATGCCGTATTGGGGTCAATATTGCATTTGTGCAGTTTGCAATCTAATATGGCCGCCAAGCGACGCATATTTTGATAAGCATGTAAGAACACAAAATGTCAAGCGTATCATAGTAATGCATTGTACCAATTTGCACGTCTTTCTGTGCAGACCCTGAGCAGCTACACTGTATGTAAAGTTATGTCATCAGAATGTGCCGAAATCCAATATGGCCGCCCAACAATTCACATTTTGACATGCATCAAAGAACAAAATATGTTCAAGACATCAAGTTACTGCATGCTGCCAGATCCTAGCTGCGTAGCTGAAATAGTAATGACGCTGTGATTGTTTTTGTAAATCCATGTGTGTAAGATTCAATCCAATATGGCCGCCAAACGACGCAGTTTTTCATAAGTACCTAAGAAAACAAAATGTTAAACATCGTACGCTTATGCATAGTACCAATTTTCATGTCTTTCTGTGCAGAATCGGAGCAGCTAAGCTGTTTCTAGAGTAGTGTCACCAGAATGGGCCTAAATCCAATATGGCCGCCAAACGATTCACATTTTGACATGCACCAAAGAACAAAAACTGTTCAGCGCATCAAGTTACTGCATGCTGCCAGATTCTAGCTGCGTAGTTGAAATAGTAATGACGCTGCGATTCTTTATAGATACACTTTAGTAAAAAATAAACAACGAAACCAAAAATCACATATCCGTAACTAATCAAGATATCGCAACATAGCTCGAGGATGTTCATATTTGAGGTATATACTCTATATGTGCAAATGTGCAAAGTTCTTGACATCATACATTCAGAGTTATGGATTGCGGAAATGCCTACCCGTCAAAAACGTGAAATTACCTTAAATCCAATATGGCGGCCAAACGGTGCCTCGTAGCCCTATGGACCCTGCAGTTGAAATTGAAGGTAATCGGATTCCAGACCTGCTCCAGAAATTTGGTAGTCATCGGACTTGTAGTTTCGGAGATTATTGCTTTGGAAATTGAAAATTTTGAATTAATTTTGAATTATCTCCTCTTTGCTATTGGGCCTAGAGACTTGAGATTTTTGCAGAAACAACTTCAGCACTGTCGGCACCTTGGTGATTTTTCAAGCGATTCTGTCCAGCGGTACTTTTTGTAGGACTGGTACAAAATACGGCGGAATAATAAATAATATAAACATTAACGATTCCAATAGGTCTCCTGCCTTGTGGCAAGGAGCCCTAATAAGTTGAATTTTGTGTCTTGGTAAATGTAAACACACTTTCATACATTTGCAACCTCCAAAACTTGAATTTCGAGCAAAAGTATTATTCTCGCCGATGGGCGAGATATTGTAATACAGGCTATGAATAGCCGAGTGACTGAGTGAGTGAGTGAGTTTAGTTTTACACCGCTTTTAGCAATATTCCAGCAATATCACGGCGGGGGACACCAGAAATCGGCTTCACACATTGTACCCATGAACAACGAGGAGAGTTCTATGGATATACAACTTCTTAAATATTAATATGAATGACGTTTCGATGTAGTTACTAACACCATTATCACTTGCTTAATAACGGTGTTGGTAGCTACACCGAAACGTCGCTCATATTCACTATAAAGAAGTTGTATATTTATAGAACTCTCCTCGTTGTTCATCACACAAACTTCTAAATGCCATTCAGTGAAGTCATTGTACCCATGTGGGAATCGAAGCGGGTCTTCTGCGTGACGAGCGGACGCTTTAACCACTAGGCTACCCCACCGCCCCGAGTTGAGTTGAAATGAGTTCAATTTTGTGCCATGATACTCATAGATACACTTTTATTCATTTGCATCCACAGCCCGAGGCTTCTTTGAGCCGCAAGAAGGTTAGCAGTCATTGCCATTTCATCCTCCCGGGTACCCATTTACTGATGGTGATCAGAGGCGCGATTTGTTTTTGAACAAAATGTCTTGCCTACAAATACACACAATTGATACTTATTTGTTAAACGTGCACTTATTGTCTAGTTTCAAAGATTCCCCCGCGGTCATCTGTTTAGTGATGTGTTAAAGAGGACCAAGGTCCAAGCCTATTGCCAGTCCAAGCAAGACTAATTCGAATCATTCAACGTTACGTAATTGCAAACTCCCGTATTTGATGATGGCTAAAAAGACACGGAAAAAACGATTATTTGATAGAGCTGTGTTTGTTTTGGGTCTCAAATCTGCAGTGTTTCGGCGACAGTTTTCTGCCCTGTATACTTTTTCGGTCAAATCCTAGTATCAAATTATATACTTAATTGTGCCCATTAGCATAATAGGTTTGTTAATGTCGGAGTCAATGCCTCAGTTTGACTCCAAACACTAATAGACTATAACTGCAATGTCCAGATTTAGGCTTGATCTCGACTCCCGATCATAAAGCTTCTTTCTTCTTCAAGTAGTGGATGTAGTGGAGCGCAATAGTGCAGTGGTAAGGCGTCTGCCTATCATGCTGATTGATATTGCTATGGCGATTGATATTGCTATGTGTAAAATGGAAATGGAAAAATGTTACTTTGCAAGCAAATATGTTTACAAAGATAATTGTAGATGTTCCTAAACATTTTTTTACAATATCAAAGACACGTGTTACTTGTTTTCACTAATGTAAATCAGCAGAAAATGTTTTAAAAGACTGAAATCATAGCAATGATTATATTTTACAATTTTACACACTCTACAGCAGTTGTTTCTTGTTTTAATAGTTGAAAAATTGTGACTTTAAATGGTTTATCTTTGTCCCAAAGCAGAATTTTATTTCAACCTTTCTTTTGGACATCAAAATCACTATTATTGGTTCACTTCGGCATAGACGAATACAGGACAATTTAACTCTTCTGAAAAAGATGCATTTCACCCAAATATGAATGCATTTGAGAATTTTTCTTCGTGATTTGCATAAAGCTGCGTTGTTAAGCTATCTTGTAAACCAAAACCTTCTAAAATATCTTTGATAGTTTTTCAGTAACTCATAAAGGTGGGAGGGTAACGTTTCTTTGGGCGTATAGTGTATATTAGGTTATAAGAAACATAATATTATGCAAGCAGGCTTGACTACACATGTTGGCAATAGTTTATCAATAGGACAAATGTTTTCTACGCTGTAGTATTAAAAAGCAGGTTTGGGCAGTAAGATAGAACTCGTGTTTGTAGTTTGTCAGTGTTAAAAAGTTAGACGCTTCAGCTGAAACATTTGTAAAAAGAGCTATTCCGACATCATCATACGTATGTATGTGGACTTGAGGTCAAGAATAATCTCTTCATGGTTCAATGCCCAGCAAATCAAATCAGGTGGTAATTACAAAGCCTGGAACAATTAAACTGACCCTTCTTCTTGAAAGGCAGGTTTTCCTTCTCGCTACCGATGAACAAAGATCCGGGGACAAAACACCCGCTGACACCCTGCTAACACCCTGCTGACACCCTGCTGACGTGTCGAGATATGTCTGACTACTGTTCAACGCTCTGCTAAACCAATCTTGCTCTGAAACCCGTGCGTGTTATGCATGGGTCATTACCTCTCCAGTTATTATCACACACACACACAGAGGGTATAGTTATATATCCCATGGTCAACTGGTCAGTTATTCGTCGTGTGGAGTCTGTAGATGCCCAGGGGTCAGGGTTAATGTCTCTAGATTCACGGTCCAAATCTTACCAAACGGCATTTCTAAAGTTAATGTCCCGGCTATTGAATTAGCCAAGCGGAGCGAGGTTTATGTGTGTTCCGTATAGTGGTCAGTCCGTATAGTGGTCAGTCAGTACGGACCTGACCAACAGAAAGCTGTCGACATTCAGTGATATATCATTGCTGGTCAGCTCAGCAAATATTGTTCTCCGACCTTCGTATTAAAGGTAAGCGTTGTGTTTTCTAGATGTAATTTTATCTCAATATACAAGTATGTCGTGATATGGTCAGTCCTACAGTAAATCTAGGAGATATGACTGCCATTCAATAATCATAGGGGGCGGTTGGGTAGCCTAGTGATTAAAGCGTTCGCCCGTCACGCTGAAGATCCGGGTTCGACTTCCCACATGGGTACAGTGTGTGAAGCCGATTTCTTGTGTCCCCCGCCGCGATATTGCTGAAATATTGTTAAAAGCAGCGTAAAACAAAACTCACTCAATCAATACAATAAGCATAGGCCTAGTTTTAACGTACTCTGGACACGCATACACTACACAAACTCTCTCTCTCCCCCCCCCTCTCTCTCTCTCTCTCTCTCTCTCTCTCTCTCTCTCTCTCTCTCTCTCTCACACACACACACACACTCGTATATACAGTTTATTTATGTATGTAACTGTTTGACATTCTGTTGAACCCAAGCACCCAACAGGAATGTGTCAGTGTGGTAGTCAAACTCAGTGTCACGTTCATGATAGAACCTTCTGATATAAATTCAAATAATCATAAGAAATGTCCACTAAAAGAAGCATTTTACACCATTCCGATATATCAACAGTGTTTACGTATCACTATCAAAGAGAGGTGACATTATGTAAGTTATGTAACGTTACAAGTCACAGGGGCGTGTCGCGCTTAAGAACAGCGTTAGATAGACATACAGTACATAGACCCTACCCTAGTACCATTAAAAGTGGATACTATAAAAGGTCCTTTTATATAGCACTAGGGTAGGGTCCATATACCTATATGTCTTTCTGACGCTGTTTTTAAGCGCGACACGCCCCCTTTTATATAGTACTAGGGGAGGGTCTATATACCTATATGTCTTTCTGACGCTGTCTTTAAGCGCGACACGCCCCTTTATATAACTAGGGGAGTGTCTATATACCTATATGTCTTTCTAACGCTGTTTTTAAGCGCGACACGCCCCTGTGTTACAAGTTACAAGCTCGTCACGTAATAGGGTAATAGGACATTATGGCCATGCATTCACTTTGCGTTCCCATGACATTTCGTCTGTGGATATGTGACCCACACTCGTAAACTTCGTGCAAGGCTTAGTGCATCGCCCCAGCTGCGTGGGTAGCTTAAAGCTTTAGCAACTGCAAACTATGTCTGATTCAGAATTACCAGGATGATTACTACTTCTGATGGACAGACCGGTGACGGAAACCCAAGCATGAATACACAACGTACATTGACAATTGTTCTTGTACATGTTCATGTTCTGCATGTTAAAAAAAATTAAATATATTTTTGTGTGAATGCCATTTAAAAGACAAGCAATGCCAATAATACATATACAATGGATTTCAATCTCCTTTTGAACGCATGATATAGTCAACCCTGTGTCAAAGTTGAAGGTTCCTTTGTAAGTAATTCGAGCTATCGGAGGTTCGACACAGTCACAAAACGATCACAAACTATAGAATAAGGACAAAGCTTTGACTTCGAGACAACAGTATCGTCAACACATCAAAGTTCGACAAAACAGTGTTTGACCGATACATTTCATATGTAAGAAATATTCTGAACTGTTATATACACATATATGTGAATACAATTGTGGCAATTATATTGCTTAAGATAATATTTATGACATAATTCATGTTACACGGATATACAGTCACACCTGGATATACTGCCCCTGGAAATACCGCCAAACTGGTTATACCACCAACCTGGTTATACCACCAAATTCATTTCATGTTGGTGTAAGGCAAGAGTTCATCCTTATTCTTCTAATAAAGTGTTTTTCTAAAAACAAGTACATGTTTTCCTAAAAACAAGTACATGGTTTCATATTTGGAGATAGAATAATCCTCTTACTATCAAAACAGCTTTGTTTCAGGAGCAGTGAGATGGTTTCTTTGTCACTGATTATGTCTATACATGTACATTGTACTGTATATGTAACCACCCTGGATATATCGCCACCCTGGATATACCGCCACCCTGGATATACCGCCACCCTGGATATACCGCCACCCTGGATATACCGCCCTGGATATACCGCCACCCTGGATATACCGCCACCCTGGATATACCGCCACCCTGGATATACCGCCATCCTGGATATACCGCCACCCTGGATATACCGCCACCCTGGATATACCGACACCCTGGATCCTGGATATACCGCCACCCTGGATATACCGCCACCCTGGATATACCGCCACCCTGGATATACCGCCATCCTGGATATACCGCCACCCTGGATATTCCGCCACCCTCGATATACCGCCACCCTGGATATATACCGCCACCCTGGATATACCGCCACCCTGGATATACTGCCACCCTGGATATACCGCCACCCTGGATATATACCGCCACCCTGGATATACCGCTACCCTGGATATACCGCCACCCTGGATATACCGCCACCCTGGATATACCGCCACCCTGGATATACCGCCACCCTGGATATACCGCCACCCTGGATATATACCGCCACCCTGGATATACCGCCACCCTGGATATACTGGATATACCGCCATCCTGGATATACCTCCACCCTCGATATACCGCCACCCTGGATATGCCGCCACCCTGGATATACCGCCACCCTGGATATACCGCCACCCTGGATATACCGCCACCCTGGATATACCGCCACCCTGGATATACCGCCACCTTGGATATACCGCCATCCTGGATATACCGCCACCCTGGATATACCGCCACCCTGGATATACCGACATCCTGGATATACCGCCACCCTGGATATACCGCCACCCTGGATATACCACCACCCTGGATATTCCGCCACCCTCGATATACCGCCACCCTGGATATATACCGCCACCCTGGATATACCGCCACCCTGGATATACCGCCACCCTGGATATACCGCCACCCTGGATATACCGCCAGCCTGGATATTCCGCCAGCCTGGATATACCGCCACCCTGGATATACCGCCACCCTGGATATATACCGCCACCCTGGATATACCGCCACCCTGGATATACTGCCACCCTGGATATACCGCCACCCTGGATATACCGCCACCCTGGATATACCGTTACCCTGGATATATACCGACACCTGGATATACTGCCACCCTGGATATACGGCCACCCTGGATATACCGACACCCTGGATATACCGCCACCCTGGATATACCGCCACCCTGGATATACTGCCACCCTGGATATACCGCCACCCTGGATATACCGCAACCCCTGGATATACCGTCACCCTGGATATACCGCTACTCTCGATATTCCGCTACCCTGGATATACCGCGACCCTGGATATATACCGCCACCCTGGATATACCGCTACCCTGGATATACCGCCACCCTGGATATACCGCTACCCTGGATATACCGCTACCCTGGATATACCGCCACCCTGGATATACCGCTACCCTGGATATACCGCCACCCTGGATATACCGCCACCCTGGATATATACCGCCACCCTGGATATACCGCCACCCTGGATATACCGCTACCCTGGATATACCGCCACCCTGGATATACCGATATACCACCACCCTGGATATACCGCCACCCTGGATATACCGCTACCCTGGATATACCGCCACCCTGGATATACGGCCAAAATTTGTGTGGACGGGTACAATGCGTAAACAGAGTTGAATCCATTAAGATACGTAAATTATTCTCTTCAGCACCCACATATTGAGTAGATTATGGCGAAATCGAGACAGAGTGAAAACACAGCGAATACTACCGATCTGTGTTAGTATCAGTCTAGCACCACTATTATGAAGAACATTTCGAGTGAAAATCGTACTAGTATCGTCTGGAACTGGGGGTGAATTTATATGGTATTGGGGGTTGCAGGAATCAGTATTCGGTTTATTTACATTTGAAGATGTTATGGAACGATAGCTAGAACGGAGGGTATTTACCACTTTCACTGTGAACATTTACCACTTTCACTGAGAACATTTACCACTTTCACTGAGAACATTTACTACTTTCACTTGGAACATTTACTACTTTCACTGGGAACATAATAATGCATTTCCCAGAATGAACGGAAATCGATAATTAACTCAAACTTAAGAAACAATTTGAGTTTGGTGGATCGATTACTTGAGTTGTTTGGGCTTTTATATTTTAAAAATGCAGTTGAGTTAAAAATTAAACTGTCAAAATTTGAGTAAAAACTTAAGTTTGTTTTCGAGAAATCGGGACCAGGACTGCTATGTAGCTGGACTATTGCTGAGTGAGGCGGTAAACAATAAACATCAAACAAACAGATCCTCTTAATACACTGTTTTAGGTAGACAACTTTCGGAAAACCCTACACGCACTTGGTGACATTTTCAGCGTGTCAGAAGACCACAGATAATGTTCTGTAATGAGTTACATAACCTTTTGTTATATGTCAATTGGACTAGGTTTTCCGGTAGGTGACGCCGTGCCTTGTTAAATGGACGTTAACATTCATATACTAGTGAGTCCTTTCATAAGCTTGTTATTGCAGTATTGAAGTCGTTTTAGAGACAGAACCTCGTCCGACACGTTACATATACAGGTTGGTGTTAATGTCATTTTGGAGAACTCTGTGTATGCACTACTATTGGACGTGTTTGTGTGTCTCCTGGTACTTTCAGGAATTATGCCTCTGCATGTGTTTAGTCACTGAGTCCATTGACGGAGTGAGTGAGTGAGTTTAGTTTTACACCTCTTTTTTGCAATACTCCAGCAATATCACGGCGGGGGACACCAGAAATCGCGCCCATGTGGGGAATCGAACCCGGGCCTTCGACGTGACGACAGAACGCTTTAACCACTAGGCTACCCCACCGCCCCGCCATTGATGGATGCTTGTTATATGGTCGGAGCCGTTCTCTACTTTTTATAGAGATTTTTCCCAGTAAGGAATGTGTTTTGTCCTCAGATCAACTACCACCGTTTCAATAGTATAACGGTATTTATTAGATGTTTTAGCTGGCCGTATATATTTTATGCCAAGTTGCAACATGATTATTATTCCTGTTGAAAGTTTTCTTTCTTTTTCTTTCTTATCACCTATGTCATCTTCATATTGTTGTTTTTTGTAGCCCCAGTCCTTTGGTTAATATTACAGGTAATTGTGATTTTCTTTTCTACACATTGCATTCAATCTTTCTGTTGTTACAGACACGAAAGAAATAGTTCTCGTATTTAGAAGTCTCCGAACGAAACATCATCCCATACAATCATATGGGATAATACAATCATTAAACTTGATAGGAAGGATTCAATGACTTAATTCATGTGAGTGAGTGGGTTAAGTTTTACGCCGAGGTCATATAGGTGTCAGACGCCCGAGCTCATGTAGGTCTCAGACATCCAGAGTGATGTAGGTCTCGGACACTCGAGGTCATATAGGTGTCAGACGCCCGAGCTCATGTAGGTCTCAGACACCAAGAGTGATGTAGGTCTCAAACGTCCGAGGTCACGTAGGTCTCAGACACCCAGAGTGATGTAAGTCTCAGACACCCGAGGTGATGTAGGTCTCAGGTGCCCGAGGTGATATAGGTCTCAGGTACCCGAGGTGATGTAGGTCTCAGACGCCCGAGGTGATATAGGTCTCAGGTGCCCGAGTGATGTAGGTCTCAGGTGCCCGAGTGATGTAGGTCTCAGGTACCCGAGGTGATGTATGTCTCAGGTGCCCGAGGTGATGTATGTCTCAGGTGCCCGAGGTGATATAGGTCTCAGGTGCCCAGAGTGATGTAGGTCTCAGACGCCCTAGGTCATGTAGGTCTCAGGTGCCCGAGTGATGTAGGTCTCAGACTACCGAGGTGATGTAGGTCTCAGGTGCCCGAGTGATGTAGGTCTCAGGTGCCCGAGGTGATATAGGTCTCAGGTGCCCAGAGTGATGTAGGTCTCAGACGCCCGAGGTGATGTAGGTCTCAGGTGCCCAGAGTGATGTAGGTCTCAGGTGCCCGAGGTGAGAGTGATGATGTAGGTCTCAGACACCCGAGGTGATGTAGGTCTCAGAGTGATGTAGGTCTCAGGTGCCCAGGGTCTCAGGTGCCCAGAGTGATGTAGGTCTCAGACCCGTGTGATCTAGGTCTCAGGTGCCCGAAGTGATGTAGGTCTCAGACTCAGGTGCCCGAGAGTGATGTAGGTCTCAGGTGCCCGAGTGATGTAGGTCTCAGGTGCCCGAGTGATGTAGGTCTCAGACTACCGAGGTGATGTAGGTCTCAGGTGCCCGAGTGATGTAGGTCTCAGGTACCCCAGAGTGATGTAGGTCTCAGGTGCCCAGAGTGATGTAGGTCTCAGACGCCCGAGGTGATGTAGGTCTCAGGTGCCCAGAGAGTGAGGTGATGTAGGTCTCAGACGCCCAGAGTGATGGAGTCTCAGGTGCCCAGGTTGGAGTCAGACGCCCAGAGTGACGCCCAGAATGATGTAGGTCTCAGGTGCCCAGAGTGATGTAGGTCTCAGGTCCCAGAGTAATGAAGGGTCTCAGGAGAGTGATGTAGGTCTCAGGTCTCAGACCAGAGTGATGCGGGTCTCAGATGCCCAGAGTGATCTAGGTCTCAGATGCCCAGAGTGATGTAGGTCTCAGGTGCCCAGAGTGATGTAGGTCTCAGGTGCCCAGAGTGATGTAGGTAGATGACCTCAGACGCCCAGAGTGATGTAGGTCTCAGACGCCCAGAGTGATGTAGGTCTCAGACGCCCAGAGTGATGTAGGTCTCAGACGCCCAGAGTGATGCAGGTCTCAGACGCCCAGAGTGATGTAGGTCTCAGACGCCCAGAGTGATGTAGGTTTCAGACGCCCAGAGTGATGTAGGTTTCAGACGCCCAGAGTGATGTAGGTTTCAGACGTCCAGAGTGATGTAGGTCTCAGGTGCCCAGAGTGATGTAGGTATCAGATGCCCAGAGTGATGTAGGTCTCGGACGCCCAGAGTGATGTAGGTTTCAGGTGCCCAGAGTGATGTAGGTCTCAGACGCCAAGAGTGATGTAGGTCTCAGACACCCTGAGTGATGTAGGTTTTAGACGCCCAGAGTGATGTAGGTCTCAGACGCCCATAGTGATGTAGGTCTCAGACGCCCAGAGTGATGTAGGTCTCAGACGCCCAGAGTGATGTAGGTCTCAGACGCCCAGAGTGATGTAGGTCTCAGACACCCAGAGTGATATAGGTCTCAGACGCCCAAAATGATGTAGGTCTCAGGTGCCCAGAGTGATGTAGATCTCAGACACCCGAGATGATGTAGGCCTCAGCTGTTTATCACTTTGTTGAAATACAGGAGCACGGATATCGTACTGACAACAGGTTTTTAATACGGATTACACATTAAATATTAACAGAAGGAGAATATTGACCGTAGAAGATTCCAGGGGTGTAACACAGACATTTCATTTCAGAAAATGCTGAAGCACCGATTACGACCTTTGAGTTATGATGAAGCAGTTATCTGTTGCAGCAGTTTCCAATAAGTTTCTCATTTTGTTTTAGATATGCTGACGAAAGAAGAATCGTTGACGTTCATCAGAGATGTTCTGGATATCTCAGACGCTCCATCAAAGATGGCGGCCAATAAACTGGAATTCCTAAATCTACTGGTTTTCCGTCTACAGCACACAGTCCCATTCCAGAACATAAGTCTAATGGCGGAGGAACCCAGTCAGAGACACAGACCAACCACAGACGAAATGAAAGAATCTTTATTCTCGAAGAAAGGAGGATTGTGCTACACTCAGAATGTTTTTGCGTTCTACTTTTTAAATTCCTTAGGCTATGACGCATATCTGAACAGCGCAACTGTCACGACACCTGCAATGCTTCCGGATAATCACGTGATCGTCTTGGTAAAGAATGTCGTTAAACCTGGAGATTTGTACCTGGTTGAGATCAGCATTGGCCATCCAACATTTGAAGCTATTTGCATGGATTTTGAAAAAGAATCGCCACTGATCAAAGAATCCTTCCTTGAATACAAGTACGTTAAAGAAGATGGGAAGATACTGCGCATGCACGGAGAAGGAGACTTCCGGTCAGCCAAATCTCTTCCTTATGAATATTACATTGGAAATTTCAGGCGTTTTTACGACTTCGAATTGAATTTGACGACCGACCTGGGAGAGTTTGATGCAGGCTTCGACTCTGTCTTCACCGACCCTGACATCACACCTTTCCATGACTGCATACGTGCGATCACGTTCAAGGACGAGATGGCCGTGATGCTGGTGAATTCGAAGCTCATGCTTGAGGGTGATGATTGTGAGTTCACAGTACGCCAGTTCGATGACGACGATGAGCTGGTAGAGGCCTACAATAAGTACTTCCCACAGTTAAGTATCGGGGTCGTGGAAAAGGCAGTCAGGAACTGGAGAACGGCGTGTAGCTTGAGACAGAGAGCATCTGGCGCTAACAAATGAAGATTCCAAGAGTATCAAGGCATACGAGGCCGACAATTCTTCGACGTGTCAATTTTCTCCCTGGACACACGAGGATGGTAATATGTCGTGACAAAAACTAAATATATATTATATTTCTTTAATTTTCATATAAATATATGTAGAAGAATCTTAAATTGTGCAATGCCTTCACAACATTTTAAATCAATATACAACGATTAAGCTGAATTACCTTGTGCAATGAGCACAAAAGAAATACACTAGTGTTACATATAAAATGTAATCAATTCATTATTTGTCATTTGTTTGGTAAAATATCTCTGGACGGATAGGAACTGATGCACTCAGCCATTTATCAGCTTTATGGCGGCGGTCTGTAAATAATCGAGTCTGGACCAGACAACCCAGTGATCGTCATCATGAGCATCGATCTACGCAATTGAGATATGGTAACATGTGTCAACCTAGTCAGCGAGCATGACCACCCGTTAGTTGCCTCTTACGACAAGCATGGGTTACTGAAGACCAATTCTAACCCGGATGCATGGAATATGCAAGCATCTCAGTCATGAAACCTTGCACTTATCAGTGAGAGTGTATTTGTTTTTCACTCCCTTAACCGTCTCCGTGGTCCAGTGGATAAGGCCTGCCTAAATAGGTGATGATCAGACCCAAAGGTGTTAAAAGATGGCACTTGTTGTTACTCTGCCTGGCGTTCGGCATCAAGGGGTTAGAACACGGACTGATCGGCTCGGTGTCATACTGGTTGGGGTATACATGTCGAACTGCCACATGGTATGTCACTATTGCTCGCACTATATGTGTAGTCCATTTCTGGTGTCCCCGCCGTGATAGTGTTGGACTATTGCTAACACGGCATACAAGCTGAAGTTAAGCTATTCCAACGGACAAATCAGAAAGCGAGGAACAGATAGCTTCAGTGAAAGCTTGGCGATATCAACAAACTGGCGGTCACATCAATTACAACGGAGTTTGCCAGACCTTCAACACTGAAAAATATAAGCCCTATGGAAAGCCGTCTGTATTATGGGTCCAGTTGAACTGACTGACTGACTGAGTTATGGTTTTAAGCCGCTTTTAGCAATATTCCAAGCTACGTCACGGCGGGGGACACCAGAAATGGGCTTCACAAATTGTACCCATGTGGGGATTCGAACCCGTTTCTTTGGCGGGTCCAGTTGAAACAAATATTAAGAGGAGTCCTGATCGACGAAGTCATGGAGTTATTGGTTATTCCTGGAACAATTTGATTCCGAAAGTCCACAGGTAATATTTACTCACATACCTTACACGAGATACTAAGTCTTATAGAGCTAGCCCGTGAGACCATCCGTACGTTTATATGTATGTTTATACCCTAACCCTGTGTTTCTCAACACCAATGACAACCAACCATAGGGCGGTCAGGCGAAATATATATATATATATATAGATGAATAGAAATTGGATGTGAGGGTGTCGGATGATGAGGAGGACCCTCTTCCATTTGATGTGACAGTTGTGGTTGTAGATGGTGTACAGACATGTGCTGTTACCGACTATAATAACAAGTGCGTGAAATCTTTCTTCACAAGAAATAATCATTCATGCCATAGTAAACTTCCCCTGGATAACTCTCCACATGGTATAGCACAGTTGAATGAGAAGCAGGTGATGGTTGCTGTCCCAGACTCCCATCAGATTGTATCAATAGAAGTGACCCCCTGACCTGGTGCTGCTCTCAACCATCACAACACGTACCAGATACTACAGTCTGGCTGTTCTGAATCCATCATCTCTAGCAGCAGGTGGTTGTGAATGTGTTGATATCCTGGACATGTCTGGACACGTGTTGAGGTCAATCACTACACACAATGATGCCTCACTGTGTACCTCCCCCAGGTTCATGTGTGTCAACAACAAGGGGAACCTACTCGTGTCTGACTGTTGGAAGAAGTATGTGACATGTCTGACGTCAGAGGGGGATGTTGTGTGGAGATACGCCCCTGCCGGAAACAGAGCACCCAGCAACCCTCGTGGTATCACAACTACCACGACAGGAGACATCCAGTTTGTAGACTTGGGCAAGGTGATACAGCTGACAGAGTTGGGGGAGTTTGTCAGAGAATATCGAGACATGGTTGATTATCCACAGGGACTGTATGTAGAGAGTCATGACTCAATGTACTTGTGTAGCCAAACTCAAATCGTGGAATTCCTCTTCATGTAGTCATACATCCCAGCATCAGTAAAATATGACTTACACTATAACAGATCAGTACAGATATAGATATTTTGATCATATTGGATACTGTTTGGATTTGATAACTGATCATAGAAATAAGTTCCATAACACAATAGAACGTTCTCGTCAGTGACTTCCTCCAGGTACTCGTGGACAGAGCGTCTACCAGCGAGTGAAGTCACTGATTAGATGCATTCTAAATGTGGTACTTGTTGTTACCCTGCCTGTTCAGCATTGATATGATAAGGCAAGGACAGCTTGGTGTCAGTAGACTGTGTCTTAGTAGGGTATCCTGTTGTACAGCATTGATATGATAAGGCAAGGGCAGCTTGGTGTCGGGATCAGGCTAAAACGACCCCAATTTTGCTTGGCTAAAAATGCCCCAAATTGGCTAATACGGCCCCGATGTTGCTAAGTGAAAACAGCCAGAGATTGCTTGAAATGACCCCGTACAATTGCAAAAAAAAGACGTGAAATATATTTGAGCATTTATATTGACATGTAACATATATTGAAAACAGAAAAAAAATCCTAACAATACTCTCCTTGTTGCACACACAGCAGTACCATTAATGTGCTTGACCATGTATTTGTTTTCAATTTTAGTGTAATATGAAGTTACATAATGGGTATTAAATAGACTAACGACACAGACATTAAACTTCCAATGGTTCTTTCTGTAATTGCTTGACACCCTCTCTATTTATTGCAATTGTGTGTTAAGCGAGGGCATCCTCCTGAGTGTCGAATCAAGATGGCGGGAAATGATCGTTTCAACAAGAAATATGACAACCTCATCAGCAAACAAGACTTTTTTCTTAGAAATATTTGTTTTTGGTCTTCATTTAGAGTTTAGGCTTTAATGCGTCAGTATTTTTTCAGTTATCGTCGAAAAATCAAACTGTACATTTCATATGGAGTTGTGTTGAAACTGTCCATTGCTTTGAATGTTTACGTTGAAGTAACTGTCTTTGTAGTTGCATGGATTGTCGAGCATGGTTTTTCCGGACGGTCTTATTGCAAACCACACAGCGTTGTGTCATTGTGAATGTACAGTAACCATCTATCCCCATCAATAAATACTGTATATCATTGACACAGAGAACACTATGCCATAGTCTTGAGTTCTTATACTTATATTTCATCATATTCATTTATGTACTATTGCTAATGTTTGTCAAAACACCAGCGCTGTCAGGATTCACTCGACAGAGTAACTGCTACTTCAATGTTGTTTTAATGACGGCATGTGTGACTTCATGGTATGGATGTGTTTTTAACAATTTGAATTGTTTTATTTGTCAAACTTAAATTCTAGTGAATATTGTTAGACGATCTGTACAATATTCAGTTCGTTTGATTCATATCTTCCACATGTATTATTGGCCTCATGGCCATTTAAACAGAAGAAAATCATGATGAAAATGTCAAAGTTAATTCATTTAACAAGTAATTGAAAAATATGCGTTTTGATCTATCATTTATGACTAAGGACACACATTGAAATAAAACTGATAATTCTTAGGCCATTTTGGCAAATATGGGGCCGTTTTAACCAGTCATCGGTCCATTTCAGCCAAAACATTTGGCGCCGTTTTAGCCAATTTGGGGCCGTTTCGACTTGGGGCCGTTCTGCTGTGGGGCCGTTTCAGCTATAACCCTTGGTGTCAGTAGGCTGTGTCTTAGTAGGGTATCCTGTTGTTCAGCATTGATATGATAAGGCAAGGACAGCTTGGTGTCAGTAGGCTGTGTCTTAGTAGGGCATCCATGGTAAACTGCGATGTGGTATCTCATCAGATTCACAGAACGTCCACTATATTAGGAAACATAAGTGGAAGACCAAAAGATCACAGTTATGCTTTGTTGACAACAATCAGAATAACTGTACCAAAGGATCATGTAAATGTTGGAAGGCATATATTTTTATATATTTTTATTACATTTTTACATTTTTCAACATTATAGTTTTGTATTGTTTGCGTGGGATTAACAGTTTCTATATACCAACAATGTCAAGAAATGTGCTATAATAGAAATATGTGTAGATTCTAAATGATTTTTGAGTTTATTGTAATGGGATTTTAACTGTTGTTGTGTAAATTGTTCTGGTAATCTCTACCAGTCTTATTGCAGCATACAGTACTTGTACAAGCTGGAAGGAATAACCTGTATCACTTTAGAAAACCTGAGTCCAAACACTGCTGTATTGTTAAAGTACACATATGTATTTGGCATATATTGGCTTAGAATCACATTGTTTCTGGACAAAGTGAGACTGTACTATTTTTGTTTTGAGTGAAGGGAGATGACTCTGTAATACTTACTCTGGCTGATAGAAGGGAGAAAATTCACTTCTATCCAGAGACCATTTGTCCTTCAGAAACATAAAATTGTAAAGTTTGCTGTTGTGTTGTTTTAACTAGATTTGTTTTTGACATTTGTGACAGATGCAGAGCTCAAATTTCTTAAACTAAATATTCGGCTTTAATAATACATTCTATTTTGTGCAATAAATTTCTTAAACTAAACATTTTGCTTGTATTATACATTTGCATGTCACTCCCCCAATTAAATTCCCAAAACAGAACTTGAATAAAGGTGTGTGACATTAGTTGCGTATAGACCGGGTTTGATATTTGTGACAGAGCTCAAATTTAATAACCCAAATATTCCGCTTTAATAATACATTCTATTTTGTGCTCTCAATTAAATTCCAAAAACAGACACTGCAGGTACGTGTATTTGTTTAATTAATAGGGCTACAATCGGATTGAGTCATCATGACACAGATCCATACATCTGATGGTACACAAAGTCTGAATGACAGAATCAAAACTCCTTCAGGTGGTCAACAATCACTTGTTCATCATCTCCATCACACGATGGACTACACACTCTCTCTCACACACGCTATGATGCTCATGTCTTCTGTTGTCATGAACCACCAACATTTGGTGTCTGGCGATATTGTTTCTTGAGGGAGTGGTGTCTTTTGTCCTTCAGCATTGCCTGCTTTGCCTTAGCCATCCTGAAACAAGCACTGGTCAAAATGCCCACTTCATTAATCACATAGGCTTGAGTGAGTTTAGTTTTATGCCGCTTTTAGCAATATTCCAGCAATATCATGGCAGGGGACACCAGAAATGAACTTCAACATTGTACCCATGTGGGTAATCGAACCCAGGTCTTCAGTGTGACAAGCGGACACTTTACCCACTAAATTACCCCACCGCCTCACATAGGCTTGAATAAAATACTGAATTACACAACAATCATACATCCACATTTTTCGAGCAGTCTGTCAAAAATTAAGTTGCAGACATGATTCAGTTACAGATTCTAACTTATTTTTTATTCTTTCAAGATGTTCAATACTGGAGCGATCAGTAACTGCTTGGGTCCTGCGTATTTCATGGTTAGATGGAACATGCCCCCAGCAGCCAATGCTGGTCATCATGGGTGGCCAGCTGGATTAGGTGGTCCATCTGAGTGGCTTTGTGGATTGGTGCTCACAATATCACTACCGGGACTTGGTCCCGACTTGGTTACTTACAAGTCACCATCTTTTTCTTTTTTTATTATTATTATTATAGGATATTTATATAGCGCACATATCCACGCAACTAGAGCATCCTCAAGGCGCTGGTATTTTTCCCCTCGATCATTGGATGTCAATCTTAACGGCACATCGTATTATCAATCTCAACTCCCTGGGGAGTATACAACTCTTGCTGCCACTAGGCGCATCGAGTTATTGTGGCTTTCTCATCCTAACGAGGTACCCATTCACAGCTGGGTGGACTGGGGCACATAGTCACAGTACTTTGTCCAAGTTCACTGCACGTTGCTGTACCCGCAACTAGGTGTTTGCACGTATTCATGTGGCCACCATCTGGTCATACACCAACGGATTCGTGGGTTCTTTTAAGTGCACAGGTTTGTGTACTGTACACTAGGGGTTGTGACAACACGGAAAGAGTCTGCACACAAAGTTGACTCCAAGGTTTTTACACCCGGTCGTCACAGGTGGGCTCGATCCCGGCACCTCAACCTCGCTGGATCACTAGCCTGGTGCCTTGGCCAGCTCGCCCACCACACTTAATTATTTCTGAGTACCACTTTAAACAAAATGTATCATAAATGATCACTTGATTTCATTTACACGAGTATGTTACTCCGTCCATTTCATGGATTTCTATTGAGAAGCTAGGCGGGACCAAACAAACCAGTGGTTGATATTATAACAAATGTCTCATGATGTCCTGTTATGACACAACAAGTCAAAGGATACATTTTTGTAACATTTTGAACACAGGTTACTGGGCACAATTTCCAAAACAAAACTTCCCATTATTCGTTTCATGTTTAACACGACACATGGCAATTTTGCAGGTCACAAACACCTGCACATAACAGGGACTGGATCCGACAAACTAGTGATTGATGTTATGAGCAACACCAGATACCATCACAATGACAGGCGATCAAGTCAACAACCCCGCCACAAGATCAATATTGACATCTCCTTCATAGCCAGTTCCGACCTGGAATCTACATGGAATATTTTGGCTGAATAATTTTTCTTCACAAATTCTGACTGCATGTCAGCTAGACACATCTACTCACATTGCCAAAAAATGGTCAAATGGGCATTTTCAGCTTTGCTTCTGTATTGTTTATAATGTACAAGTACATTCTAAGGTTGGTTGTTGATTAATGCCACACTCGGCAATATTCCAGCTATATGGCAGTTGTCTGTAAATAATCAGGTCTGGACCAGACAATCCAGTGATCAACAGTATGAGCATCAATCTACGCAGTTGGGATACGATGACATATGTCAGCCAAGTCAGTACCACCCGATAGTCGCCTCTTACGACAGGCATGGGTTACTGAAGATTTTTAACTTAAAATGTGAGTTCAATAAACTGATTTAATACCTTCTGTCTCTCACAGTCTTCTCCTGCTCTGTGAGCTCACGAGGAAGTTCACCTGCCCCGAAGATGACTGTACGTATTTTCTCCATGCAGTCCGCCTGGTTCAACATCTGTTTCCTTGTAGCATCCGAGGTCACGACCAGATAGCCTCCCTTGGTGATCCTACCAGCCTCCTGTGTAGTGAGTGAGTGAGTGAGTTTAGTTTTACCCCGCACTCAGCAATATTCCAACTATATGGCGGCGGTCTATAAATAATCAAGTCTGGACCAGACAAACCAGTGATCAACAGCATGAGCACCGATTTACACAATTGGGATACAATGACACGTGTCAACCAAATCAGCGAGTCTGACCACCCGATCCCGTTAGTTGCCTCTTACGACAAGCATGGGTTACTGAAGACCAATTCTAACCCGGATCTTCACGGGTTGCTGAAACTGGGAACTGAGAAGTCCAGACACCTTTCAGCTTATTTGAAAGGTCTCCTGATTCCGACTCCTGTCAGTGATGTTGATCTTCACATCTGGATTGAAGGATATGAGCGACATGGGATTGAATGGTTTTGGTCTCTATGTTAGTTCTACAGCATCTTACCTCCTGTCATAGAAATAACATGTACTCTCCAAAAATAGTAAGGGATACATGTATGATATCAAGTGTTTGATCAAGATAATTGTTGATGATATATATCCTGTCATGATTGATGTCTGTAGAACTTAACACCAAAGCACAGTCTGATAGGGTGCATGTGTCTCATGCAGTAGCCCCACAAATGGGAGTAGGGCATCATTTCTGATTGAGACATCTCAAAGTTTGGAATTTTTTTTATTCATTTCTGAGTATTCCCAATTCTTGTGTTAAAGAGCGTATTATATTGTGACACTTAGCATTTGTCATCTTAGCATTCAATCTATAGTTTAGATTGTCACCATACAGGCAACAGATCCTAATGTACACTAATACCACACACAAATCTACACACAACTTATTTCAGGAGATGACTTTTCATCTGAAGGAGTGAATGAGTGAGTGAGTTTAGTTTTACACCGTACTCAGCACTATTCCAGCTATATGATGGCAGTGTGTAAATATCATGTCTGAAACAGACAATCCAGTGATCAACAGCATGAGCATCGATCTACACAACTTGGATGTAATGAAAAGTGTCAACCAAGTCAGCGATCCCAACTATCCGATCCCCTTAGCTGCCTCTTTCGACAAGCATTGCTTGCTGAAGATCAATTCTAACCTGGATCTTCACAGGTCCTGCAAAAGAAAATTCAGACATGATCTGTAATGGGATCATTATTGTGTCTTGTGATCTTTGTGCTGTGGTAACGACCACCTAGAACCAATGGTAATGAGATTGGACAATAAAAGCAGCATGGTCAAGATGGTGAAAGTCACTCTAGCAATATGTCAACTTGATATGACTTGCTCCTCCGTTCAATCTTTAGAGAATATTTGAGTATCCTTAAGTGTGCAATAAGAAATGACTTAATAAGTAGGGATGCCACTAGGGCTGGGACGGGTACTCGGGTAGTCGAATCCGGGTCGGGTACAGCTGGAATCGAGTCCTATTTCTAGGAATCGAGTACCCGGAAAGGAGAGAACTCTGTAATGACAAGGGCAGATAATAACTTGTCTTTTTCATTATTGACATAACACACATTTACATCATTGGTATTGTCCGATTAATGGAGGTTATTATTAACGACTGCAATTTATCTGCGCATGAGCTGCGAGTAGTCAAGTTACAGTAACAGTAGGAACGAAAAGTTTATTTTAACGAGCAATGTTAGTAATGGTGTTACTCTTTATATTGGTTAAACAGACGTAAATTATATAGCTTGAGATCATTTTTAATGTCTTATTGCCACCGTTATAAGTTTTCTATAATAATCTCTGTCAAATCGTGATTGAATATTCAGAAAATTGACAGAAGCGCTTTTTTTCCTTACATTTCCGGGTACTCCATTCCGATTCGGGTAAGTACATGCGGGTACTCGATTCCATTTTTTCACACCCGTCCCAGCCCTAGATGCCACACTACATCGATACATCGATTCTTTGATACTTTTTCTAAGATGATCCAATTATCGATACATTCAAGGGAATGTTTAGCGAATATTGGGCTATTCTTACTGGTTAGGCATAGAAAGATGACTGATTTCTTCACTTGAACTCAAATATACTTTACAGTGCTACAGGCCATGAATATATATATTTTATAGAAAAGTAGACACACCTTTGTTGTTCTGACCTCCTCGGCCACTTCCCCTAGAATACTTGATGTCAAGTTTATATAAAATAGGAAATAACAGAACAACAGAATAAAGACTGACAATCGATAAAAATCTGCGACTTCAGTATATAATCTGTGGATAATATATCGTAACACAACCAAGTGTGCATACTATATCACTTGCTTGCCAAAATGAGGCATGGAAATAACAATTTTATAATTTTACAATAAACATTTATCTTGTTTATAGGTATTTAGCTCAATAATGCTTTATATGAGTGACATACTCATGTTCTAAATGCATATAAATAACACAACTATACTCGCGGTGCTTGTTGATGTTACAATAATGATATACATACTAATATACAAATTATGCACATGTGATCTTGTAATGCATGACACTCTCATTGTATTCTTATTCAAGAAGAGCGGAGTCCCCGACCGCGTCATACCAAAAGACGTTAAAATATGGTACTTGTTGGTCCCTGCCTGGCGCTCGGCATTAATGGGTACAACAAGGACTGGTCGGCTCGGAGTCAGTATAATGTGTCTGAGTGGGGTATTCATGCTTCACTGCGGCATGGTATCTCAGTGGGCTAGCACTATAAAACCAGCTTAAGTCTGGGCTAGTACAAGCAGCCGCACATACACATACACACGCATGCACGTCGTCATATGAGCGAAATATTCTCAAGCACGACGTTAAACCCAATTTCACCTCACCTCACCTCACCCGAAGTAAATGAGGGCATGCGTGCGTGAGAGTTTGGGCAGCAGCTACTTCTTTCTGGTTTATGTTGAACGACAAGACACGAAATGTTATACACCAGAAACACAGATAATGAACTCCTCCTTAACACTAAAATGTGTTTGTAAAACAACAGGGTACGAATATTGGATTGTGTCGATATCTTACTTAATTAAAGTATCCATCCTAGATTCGATCCAGAAACCTACGTCGTCATCTGCTCAGGTAGTTTATAAATCACGTTTAGTCGAGTTGTCTCAGTTACCTCCCTTGTGTGGTACGCAGAAGAGACAGGTAGACAGGCGGGTTGCATATTTCAAAGCATCAGGGAGACAGAAGATGGTCTCATCGTGTGAATAATTCGTATACATTCAGATCACCGATAGCATCTATTCAGATTTAAGGCATATTGTTTAAAATACTGAGTTAGTTTTGTCTACACTCAAAATTTGAAAGGAAGAGAAACCGAAAGTAGGAATTGTTGGACGCGAGGTTTTAAAACTAAAATATAGTGATGCCATTTTCTGTTATTGTCCTGTTTTTTACCAATGTCTGGCATGCAGGTAAACAAGTTAATTTGTTAATTTGTCAACACTTAAAGCTTAACCTATAAAGATATATGTTGGCTCGGCCTGTGAAAGAACTTCACAGTTTCCTCCCTCGTATCGTCACTTTGAGCAGAGACCATATAATAGATTATTGTATGGTCTCTGCTTTGAGGTGTGACTTTACGTGTACTTTTACGTGTATTTAACAATGATACCGGATTTTAGATTTTTATAAGTAACACATATTGATTTCAAACGGCGAAACGCAGTTAAAATTCATTACTGGCAATTCATGGTACACCAGGTACTATGTATGACAACGACTAGCTTGTTCTTACAGCAGGAGTTTGTTGTCATGACAACTATAATGATGGAGGGCTTTGTTAAAACTATAGTTCTGAAACACCTTGTATGTCGTTATTCCAAGACATGCAGAACAATGAGTTTTTCAGTCTTTTTCTGTATCAGTGTTTATTGAATAATCAAGACAGTTTTATAGAAAATAATACCATTGAACCCTGAGAGGCTATCCCAGTATCCTCACATTTCACAAGAGCGAACTAGTAGTGAGCAGTTCGTGACCTGGCTGTCCATCATTGTAACCCGGATGTGATTCTTGTTTTGCAGATGTCGATGTCCCGTGAGGAGAAAGTGGTGGAATTCCTGACCTGTGTGATCTGCCAGGAACAGTACACAGACCCGTGTACACTGAGGTGTGATCACACATTCTGCAGGAAATGTGTCACCTCATACGTCCAGACCAGACCAGATGCTATACAGTCCAAGACCATCCCCTGTCCCTGCTGTCGACAAGATACCAAGGTCCCCCCACCCCAGGAGGCCGGTGGAGGAGTGGGCGGGGCAGATCAAAGCCAGCATCATTATACAGGGGCTGATTGACACACAGGAACCTTCTACAAGTACTGCAGGTGCGACAACCTTTGCAAATATCGATTGACATACTGATTATTATCAGTCACGCATGTGAATTGTATGATAAAGCCCACAAAGCCCTTGAAAATATATATACATGTAATTTGTCTTAAATAGTCTACAACTGGCACAACATGTAAGGAATATTTGTAAATCTTCAGGGTATCTGGTATCAGGGGATCTTCAGGGTACCACTCTCTCTATGCCTTAAAATAGTCATCATTTTACCTGGATTTCTCAATCTTTAAGAGAAGCGACAAAACCCTTTCCACATCTGAAAGCAAAGTCGATTGTACAAGCTTATGAATATATCATTGTGAATTGTTAAATTACCATAGACGTGTCCACTTTCAGATACTGGTTCGTTTTGCTCGGTGTGTGAGAAGTTAGGGGAGACAACTCCAGGAACCTTATGGTGTTCTGAGTGTGAAGTGCTCCTCTGCAAGAGATGTGTCAAGATGCATCGTGCAAGTCCAGCATCACATGACCATGAAATGTGTGACCTTTCAGGAGAGATGAATGTCAAGAGAAGACGTAAGGTTGTATGTCCGGAACACAAGGGTGAGGTTATAAAGTTCGTCTGTAAAGACTGTCACAAAGCCGCATGTCAGACATGCTGCGTGCTTCACCACAGGAAATGTGAGTCTGTCGTTACTATGGAGTCAGTGATGCCAACCATGAAGTACCATTTGAGAAAGAACGTGAAAGTATTATCAAAGAAAATGAATAGAAAACAAACGCTGGTTAAAAAAACACACAAGAAAATTAGAGGAATAGAGAAAACTAAAGTAGCTGTAGAAGGTCACATCAAATCTGCTGTTGAGAGAGTCATCGCCAACATCAAACAGAAAGAAATACAGCTGATGAATGAAGTCAATGATATTACAGATAAACAAACACAGCAACTTAAGGCAGATATTAAACTTGAAGAGATCGAGATGCAGATGTACAGACAACATTGTGAGTTCATTGACCAGGCCTTGGTATCGGACTGTGAGATGGACCTGTATGACGCGTATCAGGCCTGGGAGTCTGGAGCTGTAGAGATGGAGGATGTCAGGGATACAGAGGCAGCAGACACCCGGAGAATAGATGACATCAGGTTTACACCTGACACTGACAATGTCCTAAAGGCCCTAGATAACCTGCAGTTTGGGGAGATTGACGTCACATACCAGGATCAGGAGCAATATCTGCCATCTCCAGTGCTGGTTGACAGGATAGATGTGAGGGTGTCGGGTGATGAGGAGGACCCTCTTCTATTTGATGTGACAGTTCTGGTTGTAGATGGTGTACAGACATGTGTTGTTACCGACTATAATAACAAGTGCGTGAAATCTTTCTTCACAAGAAATAATCATTCATGCCACAGTAAACTTCCCCTGGATAACACTCCACATGGGATAACACAGTTGAATGAGAAGCAGGTGATGGTTGCTGTCCCAGACTCCCATCAGATTGTAACAATAGAAGTGACCCCTGACCTGGTGCTGCTCTCAACCATCACAACACGTACCGGATACTACAGTCTGGCTGTTCTGAATCCATCATCTCTAGCAGCAGGTGCTTGGAAATGTGTTGATATCCTGGACATGTCTGGACACGTGTTGAGGTCAATCACTACACACAATGATGACTCACTGTTTACCTACCCCTTCTACATGTGTGTCAACAACAAGGGCAACCTACTCGTGTCTGACTGTTGGAAGAAGTCTGTGACATGTCTGACGTCAGAGGGGGATGTTGTGTGGAGATACGCCCCTGCCGGAGACAGAGCACTCAGCTTCCCTCGTGGTATCACAACTACCACGACAGGAGACATCCTGCTTCTAGACAGGGGCAAGGTGATACAGCTGACAGAGTCGGGGGAGTTTGTCAGAGAATATCGAGACATGGTTGATTATCCACGGGGACTGTATGTAGACAGTCATGACTCAATGTACTTGTGTAGCCAAACTCAAATCCTGGAATTCCTCTTCATGTAGTCATACATCCCAGCATCAGTAAAATATGAGTTACACTATAACAGATCAGTACAGATATAGATATTTTGATCAGATTGGATACTGTTTGGATTTGATAACTGATCATAGAAATAAGTTCCATAACACAATAGAACGTTCTCGTCAGTGACTTCCTCCAGGTACTCGTGGACAGAGCGTCTACCAGCGAGTGAAGTCACTGATTAGATGCATCATTCTAAATGTGGTACTTGTTGTTACCCTGCCTGTTCAGCATTGATATGATAAGGCAAGGACAGCTTGGTGTCAGTAGGCTGTGTCTTAGTAGGGTATCCTGTTGTTCAGCATTGATATGATAAGGCAAGGACAGCTTGGTGTCAGTAGGCTGTGTCTTAGTAGGGTATCCTGTTGTTCAGCATTGATATGATAAGGCAAGGACAGCTTGGTGTCAGTAGGCTGTGTCTTAGTAGGGTATCCATGGTAAACTGCGATGTGATATCTCATCAGATTCACAGAACGTCCACTATATTAGGAAACGTACGATGGTAGGTTTGCTTGCCCCTCCCCCAGGTCGGGTGTCCAGGTGGGCAGTGAGTAGTGTAGGGGTGACATACCTTGGCCCTTGCCAAAGATACACACTGGCCACAGATCGAAGATGGAGTGTGGGAAGTCAGGTATATTTTTAGAAACAGATGATTCTAAAGAACATATGAATGGATGAATACTTTGATGAGGAATTTGATTTCGAACAGCTGGGATATCAAACTAGTATGGAATTCCCGCAGTTAAACCCCGAGCTTGATAATGAAAAATAGCCACTTTGGTTACCAAATTATGAAGCCATAATTAACCCCAGGGTTAAATTCAGGAATTGCACATATTGAAAGTAAAGAAACAGTCACAATGTAATGAATGACTTTAATGTTTACATCATTTTACAAAGAGCTGAACTGGAAACGAGAACGAAGGATACAGTTTGACATTAAGCTAATTGGGTCTGTAACGGTTATATCAGTTTTATGAATATCTTTCAGAAAGGGCTGGATGAGTGGGTTAGATGGCTGACTTTGTGTGCTGGTGATTAGGACTCTGAGAGTGTGGGTATTCCCGGATAGTATTCAACCTGAAAATGTACTAGAATCTGTATGTGTAATGTGGATGTAATCTGAAATGTAACATGTCACATCAAAACTTGACAGATCACAGATCAAAAGGTTAGTGTGGGAAGTCAGGTATATTCTATTTTAGAGGGAAACATATTGTCAGTTGTTGATAACTATCATAAATGTAGCCTGTCATAACATAACATATTTTTTCATATGAATTTTATGTTTATATATGAAACTGTACAGGAGTTAGAAGTATCTCTTGTCTCCCTTGCAGTATATGAACCCGCCTGTTTCCAGCATACACTGCAAAAGTCATTTCCTGAAATTGGAATGTTAGTCCTGTCAAACTACCTGTATTTTCTCTGGTGTTTCATAAACAAATTCACCAGAAGTCAGGTCCCCGCAACTGTCAAATATTGAACCAATCTAATGATGTCAATTGAAAGATGGTTGAAAATTTAATTATCAAGTGGCAACTACTTGATGAAAAATTTAGTCATAGTGATTCCTGTTGCTGCCATGTTGGGGGAATCAAATAAATAGGTGACAGGGACCTGATCTGCTGTTCATTACTTATTCCTTCAGGTATGTCATTGTAATCAATCACAGGCCACATTCCCCAGCAAGGCATGTTGAGTCATGTTTACACTGCTGTTTCAGAACTCCAGAAAGTATGTATTCTTGTGATCAGCTTACTATTTTGTATTTATATATAGTATTACTCGGTGTTTTGCGGTCTTTGTGTCGGTAGTGAATTAATGTTATTCATTCAGCAATTTTGTGAATCCTTCGTCTAGACATGGTCAGCTTATGTTGTGATGATATTTAATTAAATTATCAGAAGTAACACAGAATTTGTTAACCGAACATAAGTGGAAGACCAAAAAGATCACAGTTCTGTTTTGTTGACAACAATCAGAATAACTGTACCAAAGGATCATGTAAATGTTGGAAGGCATATATTTTATATATATTTTCATTACATTTTTCAACATTATAGTTTTGTATTGTTTGCGTGGGATTAACAGTTTCTATATACCAACAATGTCAAGAAATGTGCTATAATAGAAATATTGTAGATTCTAAATGATTTTTGAGTTTATTGTAATGGGATTTTAACTGTTGTTGTGTAAATTGTTCTGGTAATCTCTACCAGTCTTATTGCAGCATACAGTACTTGTACAAGCTGGAAGGAATAACCTGTATCACTTTAGAAAACCTGAGTCCAAACACTGCTGTATTGTTAAAGTACACATATGTATTTGGCATATATTGGCTTAGAATCACATTGTTTCTGGACAAAGTGAGACTGTATTATTTTTGTTTTGAGTGAAGGGAGATGACTCTGTAATACTTACTCTGGCTGATAGAAGGGAGAAAATTCACTTCTATCCAGAGACCATTTGTCCTTCAGAAACAAAAAATTGTAAAATTTGCTGTTGTGTTGTTTTAACTAGATTTGTTTTGACATTTGTGACAGATGCAGAGCTCAAATTTCTTAAACTAAATATTCCGCTTTAATAATACATTTTATTTTGTGCAATAAATTTCTTTAAACTAAACATTTTGCTTGTATTATACATTTGCATGTCACTCCCCCAATTAAATTCCCAAAACAGAACTTGAATCAAGGTGTGTGACATTAGTTGCGTATAGACCGGGTTTGATATTTGTGACAGAGCTCAAATTTAATAACCCAAATATTCCATTCTTTTTGTGCTAATACATTCTATTTTGTGCTCTCAATAGACACATCTACTCACATTGCCAAAAAATGGTCAAATGGGCATTTTTAGCTTTGCTTCTGTATTGTTTATAATGTACAAATACATTCTAAGGTTGGTTGTTGATTAATGCCACACTCGGCAATATTCCAGCTATATGGCAGTTGTCTGTAAATAAACAGGTCTGGACCAGTCAATCCAGTGATCAACAGTATGAGCATCAATCTACGCAGTTGGGATACGATGACATATGTCAGCCAAGTCAGTACCACCCGATAGTCGCCTCTTACGACAGGCATGGGTTACTGAAGATTTTTAACTTAAAATGTGAGTTCAATAAACTGATTTAATACCTTCTGTCTCTCACAGTCTTCTCCTGCTCTGTGAGCTCACGAGGAAGTTCACCTGCCCCGAAGATGACTGTACGTATTTTCTCCATGCAGTCCGCCTGGTTCAACATCTGTTTCCTTGTAGCATCCGAGGTCACAACCAGATAACCTCCCTTGGTGATCCTACCAGCCTCCTGTGTAGTGAGTGAGTGAGTGAGTTTAGTTTTACCCCGCACTCAGCAATATTCCAACTATATGGCGGCGGTCTATAAATAATCAAGTCTGGACCTGACAAACCAGTGATCAACAGCATGAGCACCGATTTACACAATTGGGATACAATGACACGTGTCAACCAAATCAGCGAGTCTGACCACCCGATCCCGTTAGTTGCCTCTTACGACAAGCATGGGTTACTGAAGACCAATTCTAACCCGGATCTTCACGGGTTGCTGAAACTGGGAACTGAGAAGTCCAGACACCTTTCAGCTCATTCGAAAGGTCTCCTGATTCCGACTCCTGTCAGTGATGTTGATCTTCACATCTGGATTGAAGGATATGAGCGACATGGGATTGAATGGTTTTGGTCTCTATGATAGTTCTACAGTATCTTACGTCCTGTCATACAATAACATGTACTCTCCAAAAATAGTAAGGGATACATGTATAATATCAAGTGTTTGATCAAGATAATTGTTGATGATATGATATATCATCAACAATTATCTTGATCAAGCACTTGGATAAGGATATATTATATCCTGTCATGATTGATGTCTCCCACAGGGAGTAGAGCATCATTTCTGATTGAGACATTTCAAAGTTTGGAATTTTTTATTAACTTCTGAGTATTCCCATTTCTTGTGTTAAGAGTGTGTTATATTGTGACACTTAGCATTTGTCATCTTAGCATTCAATCTATAGTTTGGAGGGGAGGGGAGATAACCCACCTTCTCCAGGAGTCTCTCTCTGATCCACTGAGGGATCCAGTCAGCACTCTCCACATGGAACCGAACCTCAACCTTGGTGTTCACTGCAAGCATACAGTCACCATACAGGCAACAGATCCTAATTTACACTAATACCACACACAAATCTACACACAACTTATTTCAGGAGATGACTTTTCATCTGAAGGAGTGAATGAGTGAGTGAGTTTAGTTTTACACCGTACTCAGCACTATTCCAGCTATATGATGGCAGTGTGTAAATATCAAGTCTGAAACAGACAATCCAGTGATCAACAGCATGAGTATCGATCTACACAACTTAGATGTAATGAAATGTGTCAACCAAGTAAGCGATCCCAACTATCCGATCCCCTTAGCTGCCTCTTTCGACAAGCATTGCTTGCTGAAGATCAATTCTAAACTGGATCTTCACATGATCTGTAATGGGATCATTATTGTGTCTTGTGATCTTTGTGCTGCGGTAACGACCACCTAGAACCAATGTTAATGAGATTAGACAATAAAAGCAGCATGGTCAAGATGGTGAAAGTCACTCTAGCAATATGTCAACTTGATATGACTTGCTCCTACGTTCAATCTTTAGAGAATATTTGAGTATCTTTAAGTGTGCAATAAGAAATGACTTAATAAGTAGGGATGCCAGTGGCGGATCCAAAGGGGTGTTGGGGGTCGAAACACACACACACACACACCACCCCCACCCCCACCCCCACCCCGGAAAATGCTTTAAGACCACATTGAAAAAAACAAACATTTACGTTGGGGGGGTAGTAGGGGGCCTGAACCCCCAAACCCCCTCTCAAATTCCTGGATCCGCCCATGGATGCCACACTACATCGATACATCGATTCTTTGATACTTTTTCTAAGATGGGTACAATTATCAAAAATTCAAAACTATATTAACAACTGACTGATTTCTTCACTTGAACTTAAATATACTTTACTATACTATAGGCAATGAATATATATTTTATGGAAAATCAGACAGACCTTTGTTGACGTTCTGACCTCCTGGGCCACTTCTCCTAGAATACTTAATGTCAAGTTTATCTAAAATAACAAATAACAGAATAAAGACTGACAATCAATAAAAATCAGTGACTTCAGTATATAATCTGTGGATAATATATCATAACACAACCTAGTCTGCATACTATATCACTTGCTTGCCAAAATGAGACATGGAAATAACAATTTTATAATTTTACAATAAAAATTTATCTTGTTTATAGGTATTTAGCTCAATAATGCTTTTATATGGTGAAATACCCATGTTCTAAATGCATGAAAATAACACAACTATACTTGCGGTGCTTGTTGATGTTACAATAATGATATACATACTAATATATAAATTATGCATGTGATCTTGTAGTGCTTGTTGATGTTACAATAATGATATACATACTAATATATAAATTATGCATGTGATCTTGTAGTGCTTGTTGATGTTACAATAATGATATACATACTAATATATAAATTATGCATGTGATCTTGTAGTGCTTGTTGATGTTACAATAATGATACATATAACATATTTATGCACATGCTCTTGATGTTACAATAATGCATAATGATATACATAATATATCAACAAGAAGACAAAGTCACCAATGAAAAGATAATATTTTTCTCTGAGTAATGCATTTTATGAAATTTAAAACTTAAGATCAGTTGGTGACAGTCTTTGAACTAGGTTAGATCGAGTCGCGTTGTTTGAACAATCTTGTGATAGGTGTAGATGGAGAACGAGCAAGATGACTGGTCTTGTTTGATAATATGCAAGAGAAACAGCATTCCTATCATTTCATTCATTTCCCCAGTGGCTGGAAAAATTGAGGTAAGAAGACTTATTATAATAGCTCACACCTGGGCCTTTGTAGTCACATTTACAACTTCTCCAGTCAAAATACAGTTGAAAAACTTAAACTGTGAACTCAGATACTTTGATGGTTTGGTCCTTCGGCCCAAAATCATTTCATACAGATATGTAAGATTTTACGAGCGCTAGAAACAATTTAAAACAAAATCCTCAAATTCATAATTGTCAAGTGATAGGAATGTCAAGAATATTATTTCCTAAAAAATCTATTCAACTTTGAGAACATATATACTCGCGTCTGTGATATTACATTCTTCTGATTAGATTACAAACGTATCATGTAGTGAATGAGAAACGATGACCCGACGGTCTGTAGTACACGTAAAATCACACCTGACCGCCAGGCCGACACTCTTGCAGACAAGGCAATCCCTCAGGGGATATTCAGAGAATCAAGCTTCTCGTTTCCCAACTTGCGCGAATCGGGAGTGTGATGTCATCCCATGGGGACAGTATAAAGTGTCACCAATTGCAAAGCTGTCCATTGTTCGTCGTAAGAAGAGGCTACATTGGCGCTCCTGGTTAGAATGAACCCGAACAGAATGTGCTGGTTCAAATGGCCAGGTGAAATGAAAGTAAATGAAAGTGAAAAACAATGCAAAAATGAAGAGAAACAAACAAAAAACAACCAAAACAACCTTCCAAAATACTAAAACAAAAATAAATAAATAAATGACCAAAAACAAACCCAAATGCGATAACTGTTCACCACAATGGAACGTCTGTTGTGCCCTTTAGGGCACCACAAACGTCACGGACTCTCAATAGAAGTTTGGGGTACAACATGAAACTCCTTTCTTTACGATCTTAACGCTACAATTACTGCAAAACCTTCAAGTCGCGATCGTTGGCTTCGACTGCAGCCACCAAGTCGCTTGTACATGGCGTCTGAAAGTGACTGGACTTTGTGGACAAAATGGATCTGTTAATCCTCTTTGTCGGCTTGGCTGGATTGTCTGGGCCACACTTCATCACATACAGGCTGCCGTCGTAGCTGGATGGAATATTGAGATAAGCAACCCGTGAAGATCCGAATCCTCTCCAGCAACACATTTTGCCCTGAGACTAACGGGACTGGGTGGTCAGGGTCGCTGATTTGGTTGACTTACGACAAGAGGAGAAACTCACACGTCCAAATAGCCCACTTTCCATCTGTGTTGAGCGACATTCCAAGATTTCCAATCTTTGGCATCTATATTTAGTATCTTTTGAAGTACGACTGATGATACCCGTGAAGGTCCGGGCTAGAATGTTGATCTTCAGTAACCCAGTAATCTTCAGTCGTAAGAGGCGACTAAAGGGATCGGGTGGTCAGGCTCGCTGACTTGGTTGACACATGTCATCGGTTCACAATTGCGCAGATCGATGCTCATGTTGTTGATCACGATTGTCTTGTCCAGACTCGATTATTTGCAGACGCCGCCATATAGCTGGAATGTTGCTGAGTGCGGTGTAAAACTAAACTCACTCACTCACTACAACTGAGGACGTTCTCTACGAAGAAGTAAAGAGCGATTCACGAGTATTCCTAAAATATTGTTTGATCAGTATTACAACATTGAAAGTTTCAGTAACGCTTTCAAAAGTTGGACATGGTGGAAGAGATTCCAAAATTTCAAAAATCAAAAGTGATGTTCAATGCTCATCATATGATTCTATGTTATTTCTAAATGAACAATTGACTTGCCTTTCCATGTGTTTGTGACATGTACAACCGGTGGAGCAGGATATGCTGAACCTTTCGCGAACACCTGTACCATATTATAGTTATTTATAATCACAAGCTTATTGTACATAGTGGAATCCTTTTTAGCCCGTTCGAGATATTCATATGGGACTTTTAACCTAAGTACATGTCTAAGTCAAACAATCAATTTATAGTTGTGATTTAGAGGCTGATATTAAAACAAACACAAGTACATGTATAAAGTCATGACATTTATTTAAAGATGTGAGTGAGTTTAGTTTTACGTCGCACTCAGCAATATTCCAGCGGGCGGTCTGTAAATAATCGAGTCTGGACCAGACAATCCAGTAATCAAACAGCATGAGCATCGATCTGCGCAATTGGGAACCTTTAAAGATGTGATTTAGAGGCTGATTTTTAAATAAACCTGAGTACATGTATAAGTCCTACAATCAGTTTAAAGGTGTGATTTAGAAGCTGATATCTAAACAAACATAAGTACATTTATAAGTTATACAATCAATTTAAAGATGTGATTTAGGGGCTGATTTTAAAATAAACATGAGTACATGTACGTCATGTATGATTCATGCAAACAATTTAAAGATGTGATTTCCGTCGATAGGAGAAGTGCACGCTTCTTTCTCTAGAGAAAGGCAACCCTTCAGCACTTGAAGACAGGCAGAACTCCTTTCATTCCGGCTTGGCAATTGAGTAACACCGAGTGCACTTGATAACAAGCGCGTGACATCTCGCGAGAAACACCAGAATGACATCAAGATCCGTCATGTGAAATTGATGTGTCTGTATATGCGAAGCTAATTTTAACAGAGCGCTTGCATTCATCAAAGCCCGCCTTTGCTCATCGGAACAAATGAATAGCCTGATAATGTTGTCGTTAGCAAGGATTCCAAATGTCATTGTAACATTTTGTAAGAGTGTGTGAACTGACATTGGATGCTTGATTTGGTTAATTTCCTGGACTTTGTTGTGGTGTTGTGAAAGGAATGATGTGTTTCTCTTTGGTGGCGCATTGGATGATAATTTACATAACACATTGTAACTTTATGAAATGCGCTAACCATCGAAACTCCACACAGGTATTCCAAACCTTCTCCCACTGTGACGATCTCCACCCTCACCCGTGAAGATCCGGGTTAGTATTGGTCTTCAGCCACCCGGAAGAGTCCATTGCTCGTTGACGTTGGTGCAAGGTCATCGTGTCCTCATTGCGTAGATCGATGCTCATGATGTCAATCACTGGACTATCTAGTCAAGAACTTGTGTGAAAATTGCTGAGTGGTGTGTAACTCCGAGTCGGATACACCTTCTATATTGATTGACTTGCAGTAGAGTTGGAATCATCGATCGACATACGTGACTCGTATTTATTGCATTACTAAAAGCGACAAAAGAGGTACCAAGTCTCCGGGCCCGACAAAACCATCTATCTTTGACTCTCACGACAAGCTCAGTTGCTGAGCACCATTCCTAATCCGCAATAGGGCGTTGGGGTAGCCTAATGGGTAAAGCGTTTGCTGATCACGCTGAAGTCTGGGGTTCGATTCGCGATGGCTACAATTTGCGAAGCTAATTTCTGGTGTCATATATGTTGCTGAAATATTGCTAAAAGTAGCGTCAAACACAAATTTCTCACTCACTCTAATCCGGAATCCTGCAGGTCCTGGTGATACAGTATGTGTGATGAGGTGAGAGACACAAGGGATGAAGGTCATAACGATGTAACAGACAACGTGTCATCGTTGGTGTTCAGCTGAGAGTACAACCCACGATCAGCGGATCAAGGTATTTCTAAGTGGCGGAACTCTGCATACCGAATTGCGTTGCCTATGACCACTGCTTCAGCCATGCATTGCTTTGGGAAAAGGAAGAGCCGTAAAATTCTTACTAGTATTTATGCTTGGTTGGTTTGTTGTTAAAAGCCGCACTCAGAAATATTCCAGCTACATGGTAACGGTCTGTTAATAATCGAGTCTGGGCCATACAATCAAATGATCAACAGCATGAGCATCGATCTACTCAATTGGGATACGATGACATGTGTCAACCAAGTCAGCAAGCCTGACCACCCGATCCCGTTAGTCACCACTTACGACAAGCATGGGTTGCCGAAGACCAGTTCTCACCCGGATCTTCACGGGTTAGTAGTCATGGACGATCACGGTCAGCTGAAGAAATATCAGATCATACATGTACTGGGTTGAAAAGTAAATATCTCCAGATATTGATATGCCAATGTGTGCTCAAAAGCAACAAAAACATTCCAATGCGTTTTCATTTATGGCTGATTTGTTCGGAAATTTCACAATCTCATAAAACTCAGATACGATACCGCTCTACACAAAGATCTGAGTACAACGCAGGTGGGCGCCGGTCAGGTATCGTCGTATGTGGTCCTAGCAACCCAGTGACCGATATTATGAGCAACCGTGCGGTGATAAGAACTCATCAAGTCACCCAGACTCTATCCGGTCTCCCCACGTAA